CCTATAGCAAGCTGCTTGTTATAAGGGCCCCTGACCAGGCGTGCTCCCATGCATGTCCCTTCACACACAGAGCTGGGGCTTGGTCCTGCTCCATCCCTCTCCTGATTAGCTCACTGGCTGTGATTGACAGCAGAGGGAGCAATTGGCTCCAGCTTCTGCCTCAGCCAATCAGGAGCGAGGGTCCCCAGAGAACCGAGGCTCTCGTGGACATTGCTGGTTCAGGATGGGGCTCAGGTAAGTGTTATGGGGGGCTGAAGGTAAAAAACCTAGAGCCTTTAGAACCACTTTAAGAGTGGTGTTGCAGATGCTGCAGGGACCATTGGAGCTGTGGGAGGAGCAGAGGATTGGATAAATAATCCTCTTTTTATTGTTCCACTAGATATAAATAAGCAATTAACCCTTGAAATATTTTTTATTTGCCCATAGTTGGCCTTTAAAAACCCTGCAAGTGCAGAAAAATATATTGTGGCTTTCTTGGACTAAAAATTGCAAAAAATGGTGACAACCCTACCCAGTTGTCTATTGAATTCCCCCTCTCCACATCCTAGGGAATCATTGGTTTGTAATCCCAAAATAAGGACTGAAAGGGCTAAAGCTCAGTTCACAATTTTGCAGGTGTGATTATACCTGAGCACTTTTACACATTTTTGTGAGTTGCAATTAGGGCAGCCCAAACATTTCAGTGGCCTGCCCTACATGTGAAAATTGTACCAAAGCACTTTTTAAAAAAAAAAAAAATTGTTGCATCAAACGCAGGGTACTTTGTTACCATGCCAGTTAGGGTGCAGTTCTGTGTGTGCGTTTGTAAGGTGCTTTGGGGTGCCATTGCACAAATGTGAACTAAGTCTAAATCAAACACCACCAAGAATGCAGGTTTTATTTTTTGTACTTATTGAACAGATATAACAAAATCCTTGGGTATATGTAACAGAACATAAGGGAGCGAATAAAAATCCATTGCTAGGGTTTACATATATAATTTAAATGAGAAGAAAAGTAAATTGAAAAAAAAAACAACTTACATACTCACCTAGGAGATGCAGCATTAGCCTGATGCTGCATCTGTCCCCCATCACCTCTAAGACTGAGAACTGAGTGATCAAAGACCGCTTATCACTCATTTCGCAGGTCCACTCTGAGCAGAGTGCAGTGACTGTCAGTCACCGGCTCTCTGCACTGTCCCTCCACCGATCACTGAAATGCTGTGGAGGGGGTGGGAGCAGATGGCTCAGCATCTCAGTGGTGTGCTGAGATGCTGAGCCAGCTGACAGTCAGGAATTGGGGTGAATCCCAACCTTAAAGTGGAGTTCCACCTGAAAAAAAAAAAAGTCAGCAACTACAAAAACTGTAGCTGCTGACTTTTAAAATACAGTCACTTACCTGTCCCCCCTCACCACCGCTGGTTTCACCGGCCGTCTTCTCTCCCTGGCTCTGGCATCTTCAGTGTGGGCACCTGGCTGTGACAGCTTGCAGCTTCACAGCCAAGTTCCCACTGCGCATGCGTTAGAAGCGCTGCACTTTGTGGATGGCCCCATAGTCTTCTGGGACCTGTCACGTGTCCCAGAAGACTACGGGGAGGGAGGACAACTTCCGCTTCCGATCGCCTAGGCGATCGCAGTGGAAGTGGGAGCGGGTACCTATCAAATTTGGGTACCTGCTCCCCCCCTGCTCCCCAAAGGTGCCAATCCTTAATGGGGAGAGGGGGGTAAAGGCTTAAAGCTATTAAAGCTGAACTACCCCTTTTGGGTGGAGCTCTACTTAAAGTTGGGATCTCTTCAGAGCCTGGACTGGTTCAGTGACGTCAGCCAACAGTAGGCTTTAGCAGAACTAAGTGCATTTCTGTGACCTACAGGAGAAGTAGGGCTAAAAGAGCTTTGGTCCTACTTCTCCTTTAATATCCATCATGCTGGAAAGTACCTGCAAGCAGTGAAACAAATATTATTATCATAATTATACAGAATCTATATAGCACCGATAGTTTCAACACTTCACAATATAAACTGTAAAATTCAATTAGTAAACCTTACTTAAAAAAAGCATGCAAACCGATTGCCTCAAAAAAACAAAGTAAACTAGAATAAGAATTGTATTTTCTTCTTACAAATGCTTATTGAGTGTGGTGAACTTACACTTTAGTATACACAACTAACAAATAATAGTGACTAGTACTTGGAAATTTTACGTTAGGTGAACTCTTAACTTAATATGGAGTACTCAGATTTGCCATTTAAAATAACAAAATCATTTTAAGTTAAGTTTACTGTGTAATGTATTCCAAATGACACCTTTATTTAGGTTGGGCTAACTAATGTGATATTTTCTGCAACTCTGAATATTGAGTTGTGGTTACTTGCACAGCAATCCGATTTACTTGTTAAAACCATGCAAACCGATTGCCTTAAAAAAACCAAGTCAGCGTTACTGTTTTTATTTTAGTTTTATCCAAACATCCATTTTACATTAACATCTTGCATCTGCCCAATACTGCAGGCAAGCGGCGCAGGCAGGCCAGACTATCTAACTGTATGGCATGGGCCTGTTTCTGGGTTTGGCACCCCCTGCCTACCCATGCTGTGATTGGATGCAGTACACATCAATCAACAGGTTTCAGCCAATGATTGTGGCTGAAACCTGGTGACCGGCTCTTTCAAATCAAGCCAGATCACTGTGCTGTGAACAGAGGTCGTGTTTCTTCTCCGACAACTAAATCTGTTAACAGCAGCACATATGACACACATTACACTTCACAGATAACCCCCCCCCCCAGTCAGTGTCATTAATACAGTTCACATTATTGTCTGATCACTGTATTAGTGTCACTATTGATGTCAGTTAGTGTCCCTCCCAGCCAGTGTGTTAGCTCTAGATTGCCCACCACTCCATCACAGTCACAGTATGTTGCTGTACTGTCATTACAGTATAGAATCTATAGCTGTGTAAATTCCATATGTGTAGACACAAACCAATTAATATACACTTATTGGGATTTTGTTTTAACCAGAATATGATATTTTTTTTCAGAATACCAATTTTTTTTTTTTTATTGGATGTTTTGTAACATCTATATCTATTAAAAACCCAGTGGAGATCAAATACCACCAAAATAAAGCTCTGAGTGAAAAAAAAATTGTATATAAAAATTTAATTTGGGTACAGCGTTACATGGCTGCGCAATTGTCAGTGCTGAATAGAAAAAAAAATGACCTAGTCATGAAGGGGCAAAAGCTTCTGCGGGGCAAGTGGTTCCATTCTCACAGGTACATATAAATAAATGACTGTTCCAAAGTTCAAATACAATTTTTTTTTGTATTTTTCTTACTGTTATAAGAAATAACATTGTTCTTTAAAACTTTGTTACATAACAACTCGCTTTTGAAAACATTTAGGCCTCGTTCACACCATGAGGTTTTGTGCACCTTTTTCTGCAAGAGAATGAAAACATCTTCTGCACTATGTTCATACCACAAAACTGGTATCATGTGCGGATTTTGCCTGAGCAGGAACCTGCAACAATGTATGCAGTTTTCTGTGTGAAGAAAAAAAAAATAAAAAGGAAAGGACGTGACATGAGCATTGTGGAATGAACAGGGCACATACAGAGCTGTTTATTGCCCTTGTAGAGAATTTACATATTACTTACACAAACTGTTAAAGTAAGCAACAGCCATAATAACAAACGTTGATGCTTGGTTTAAAACCTGACAAAATATCCAGAGTTTTCCATGACTGCCTATTTAAATATATCTTTTCATACAATTAAAGTGGTTGTAAACCCTTCCATATATACCTAGTGAAGTGACTGGCCTTAGGTGATACAGAGATGAAACATCCTCCTACACAAGTTATACCTGTTAATCTGCAGTCTTCACTACAGCCATTTAAAATGCTGTATTTATAAAGCTTGTCCGAGAGTTCAGAAAACAGAGGGTGGAGAGCTGAAATGAAACTCTGCAGAAATTCAGTGAGGAGAGCTCTAAGAACTGTTTGGTGGGATGAGACACCTCCTTCACAGGAACAGAGCTGAGGCTGTCAATCTGCTAGAGGGCCCTCCAGTCACCTTTTTTCTCTTGGTGTCAGGAAAAAAAAACTTGTCAGAAGTGATTCATGCCGATATGGAGAAATGAAGCAGCAGAAATGAAATTATACTCATTGCTTTTAATGGAGACAAGTACACACTATAGAGCGATATACTTTGTTCATATTTCATGTCTGAAGTTTACAACCATTTTAATAGTAGTTTTCCTCCATGCCATTTTACACCATACTCACAATAGGTCCACTAAATTAACTCTGCCTGCAAGTAAAGGACCTTTTACAGGATGAGTAGGAACTAGTGAACACTTTGCATATACAAGAGATGTACAAGCTGGCCAACTGTAACAAAATGATCTGTCTCTGGTCCTTGCATACCAAATCACCAAAATAGAAAATATAGGCATAGCTCATTGCATATATCACAATTGATATTAAAGCTGACCAACTGCTTCAAAGTGATTTGTACTTACATGGAATAAACTCAGTGCATATATTATAGAGATGTACAAACTAGACAACTGCATCCATGAGTTTATTCCACGTAAGTACAGATCACTTTGAGGCAGTTGGTCAGCTTTAATATCAATTATGATACCTGAAATTAGTTTAGCCCATATTGGTAGTATACAACCACTCAGGTATGTTTGTTGTATGATCAGAGATAGATTACTTTGAGGCAATTGAGCATCAATTGCAATATATGAAATTACGTTAGCCTGTATTGGTTCTGTACAACCACTGAGGTATGCCTATATTTTCTATTTTGGTGATTTGGTATGCAAGGACCAGAGACAGATCATTTTGATGCAGTTGGCCAGCTTGAACATCTATTACAATAAATTTTAAAACAGCACACTAAGGTTTCTGAGCTCTGTGACGTCAGATAACTTTAGTCTACCGAAAAACAGGTCACAGGCATGCAGAAAAACAAAACAAAACAAAACAAAACAAAAAAAAAAAACATTCTAACACAACAGGAGATTCTTCAGACTTTGCAGTTTTTTGTGGGAGTTTGTTCCCCCCCCCCCCCAGGCCCAGCATCACTCTTTGAATGAAGTTAATAGTGTTTTTTCATGGCTTTAGGGTATTCCAGGTGTAAAGCAAATAAAAGTCCAAAGAAGAGGCAAAGTGCTTGAGGTAGGTTCTGGAGATCCTCCATTACAGTACCTCCCTCGGCTATGATGGCAATAGACACTGGGTCAAGGTGGAGATGATTTGGAGAAGCAGGCATACTTTCATCAATGACAGTCATCAGTCCAACAGGTAAACGTGCCCAGACTTCATCGCTGTCAGAAGGCTATACAAAAACAAACATGATCATGTTTCACTGTGTTGTATATGGTTAGCTTTAGCTTCAAGGTAAGGGTCAAAGTCAATCTATTTTTGGAAGGTTTCTTCCTTTAAAGCATTTTTTTAAGCGGTGTTCTAAAGGCAGGTTTTTATTTTAATGCATTCTATGCATTAGGATAAAGCACCTTCTGTGTGCAGCAGGTCCTCATTAACTGAGACAGCAGTGGGGCACCATTACCTCCCATTGCATTCAAAGTCAGTGAGCCAATGAGGAGAGAGAGGAGGTGGGGCCGAACCGCAGCTCTGTGTCTAAATAGACACACACAGCCTTGGCACAATTGCCCCATACAGCTGCTGGCTGTAGGGGCACTCAGCAGGAGGGAGGGGCCAGGAGTGCTAGCAGGGGACCCGAGAATAGGAGGGTCTAGGCTGCTCTATGCAAAACCAACTGCACAAAAGGTGGTAAGTATAACACGTTTGTTATATTTAAACAGAAAAAACACACAAGGACTTTAATATCACTTTAAATTAGATAGCTATATACACACGCAAAAAAGGGTATAATCCATCTGGATACACAAAGTAGTTGTAATGATACAGTTCTACTAACATGTCTAAGGTGCAAAATTGTGTTCAGGCATTAACATTTGTTTTACCCTCCCTCACTAAGGGATTATATTTTATAAACTGCCATGCCCACCACTGTACTAGTGATATAATACGTATTAATCTGTATTTCTAAGGAATACAAAGCAAATCCCCCCACAACTGCCAAGGCGCAACTATGATAACTTACGAAGCAGGTGATGTAGAATGTACTGGGGTCATCACCAAGTAGAACAGGGAGGCCTCGTAGCACAAGGGTGTGCATTGCTGTCACATCAGGTTTCTAGAAGTAAATTATCAAAAGTTCAGTTTAATATTGCATAAAATGTAAACCTACATGTTTATTAAACAAATATCACACTATTTGACAGTTCAGGAAAGTTACTGATTGAAGTTATTTAAATTACACCCATAGCTTCGATGTTTTAACATCATTGGATCACAACTTCTCAAGACCACTTTAAAATATTGAAATCAATACAGGTAGCAACATAGGCAAAAAGGGATAGTAGTAGAGGTTACAGGTTGTACATTTATGGTATCTTACATATTTCTGTATATTACAGCACAGTGAATCATGAAAGGTTTTGTAAGTTGAGAACAAACAAAAAGAGGGTTGCAGTAGACTCACCTCTGAATTAATTTTCTGCACAAACATGGACAATGTCTCTCCAACACTTCCTTTTTTGGACTTGAACATTGTGACAAAGCGTGGTGTGTATCGATCCAGGGCATCAAAAAAGTTATTTTGCAGATTTGTGGTGGCTATTCTATTGAACTCTGCAAACACCTACAACACAAAAACAAAACAAAAAAAAAATCTCCTTTGCCCTAATATTTGAATAAGTTTCTCCCAAATTCTCCAGTGCCCCAGCAGGCAGATCCTTGTCCTCCCTCTCTCTGTGCTTTTCCCTCACTTTTACCTGTGTAGTTCAGTGGTTTGTAAGGTAAACATTTCTTCATTACAAACTACTAAACTCTGCATTCAGAGATCATTGGTGTGTAAGCCAACACAAAACTGCTTAACTCCTAAATTTACTTACCAAATACTGAACTCTGCCTTACAAACAACTGAATTCTACATGTATAGTTCAGTAGTTTTGTGAACCAGAGCTCAGAAGTTTGAAAGGCAGAGTTCTAAGTAGACCCATTGCAGGAAAATCCATTAAAATATTACTAGCTATTGGCATCTTACCTCCAGTGTACTGAAGCCCACTTTGACAAAGAGTCTGTTCAAGGAAGAGATCTCAGGCAGCTGCTGTGAGCAATTCTTCTGAAAAGGACAAAATTCCTTGCTTAAAAATAAGTTCCCCCTTACAACCTAGTGGTTAGTAGATTACAGACAGACACAGTCTTTGATACCGTGTGTGCATTCTTTATAAGCATAGGAAGCTACAGCAAGCATTGAAAAAAAAAAATACTACAATAAAATATTAAATGAAACATTCAATTTTAAGTTAAGTGGTTAGGATAAGTTCAATGGTTTAAGGCAGCATCCAGAGTTCAGTGGTTTGTAATGCAGAGTTTATATTTACAGCCTCCATCCTGAACACAGGCTTTTGTGCCCTGTAGCACCCCCCTTCTTGGTGGGCAGTATCTGCATCCACTCCCCCATGTGATCAGTGTTTGTGTACCCCAGAAAATACTCACAATGGCAGAGACTGTCCAGTCGGTAATTATGGATCAAGGATTACCATTACACAAGGTAAAATCTTCCTCTGTGGAATGGATCGTTGTTGACTGAAAGAGTAGAGTACAGGAAAAATGGTCATAAATAACTGTAATAAAAGCTGTGTCTGTGCCCCTTGTCCTTTGTGGTCAAGTGTCTTTTCATCCAGCGCTCCCCCCCCCCAATAGGTTTGAAGATTGCCACCATACAAGCATTCATAGAACAGAGTGATTGTAGAGAGACAGCACAATGTGCTCCTGGTGGTCAGGTGCCAAGCCCCTGGCGATCAGTGGCTGCTCCCCCATTCAAATAGTGCTTGTTGGCTGCATCCTTTTCTTGCCAGTCCATGGCTGCATGCACCCCTCCCCTTGCTGGTTGGTGGCCACACCCCCATCCTCCTTGCTGGTAGTCAGTATCTGCGCCCCCCAGGCCCCAGATGATCAGTGTCCACACTCCATCTACAGTGTTGCCAACCTACCAAAATAAATTTACTGATAAGACACCCACAATTTACTGACACAGACATGTTTTTACTGCCATTTTGACAATTACAGTTGTAAGTGCAAATTTCAGTATTTAAGTTACAATTAAGTACAATATATAATTAGCAATGTGAGAAAATCTGAAGGGAAAAATGTGTTTTTGATAAAGTAAGGGCAGTTATTAAAACCCATTAGTTTTCTGTCATCCCTGTCCAACTCAAGAGATTTCCTTTTAACCACTTTAGCCCCAGAAGGATTTGCCCCCTTCCTGACCAGGCCATTTTTTGCGATACGGCACTGCGTTACTTTAACTGACAATTGCACGGTCATGTGACACAGTACCCAAACAGTATCGATGTCCTTTTTTTCCCACAAATAGAGCTTTCTTTTGGTGGTATTTGATCACCTGTGCGGTTTTACTTTTTGCGCTATAAAACAAACACAGAGCGACAATTTTGAAAAAAATATAAATATTTTTTACTTTCTGCTATAATACATAGCCAGTAAAAAAAAATGTAAAAAAAAAGTCAATTTTCTTCATCAATTTTGGCCGATATGTATTCTACTACATGTTTTTAGTAAAAAAAAAATCCCAATATATCGATCGGTTTGAGCAAAAGGTATAGTGTCTACAGGCTACGGGAAAGATTTATGGTTTTTATTTTTATTTGATTTTTTACTAGTAATAGTGGCGATCAGCAATTTTTAGCAGTACTGTGACATTGGGGTGGACACATCGCACACTTGTGAACCAGTGACACCAATACAGAGATCAGTGCTAAAAAAAAAGCACTTTTTCTGTATTGGTGTCACTGGGAGGGAAGGTGCTAACACTAGTGAGATAGGGAGGGGTTAAGTGTGTTCCCTGGGCATGTTCTAACTGTGAGGGGAGCTGGGCTGTCCAATGGAGCAGAGTGATCTGTCTCCCGATGACAGGAAGGCAGGGATCATTCCGCTCCTTACCGAAAGAACCGCAAGCTGCCTTGTTTTACATAGGCGGCTCGCCATTCTCCTCTCATAGTGAAGATTGTCGGGTAGCTGGTGGCAATCGAGCCTGCTGGATACCTGCGCTGTCTCCCTCTGTGTGAGGAGACAGTGACAGCGGCGCTGGGGGAGTGCGTGAGCACCTCCCTGCCCACCTGCACCCTCGACGTACAGGGATTTAGCCTGCATGTGCCACCCTGTTGCCGTATATGTGCGTGGGGGCGGTTTGAAACAGGTTAATTTCTGTTTCATAGCCAACACTGAAAGTGAAGGGAAATCCATGGTAGCCACCAGGATCACCAGAAATTATGTCTCCAATTCTAAAATTTTGCCTTTATTCCTGTTTTAGATTCTTCTACTCTTGGTGATAGCAGTAAAAGGAGAGGAAAAAATCTACCAAACTGGGGCATGAGAGAGAAAAAACACACACTGAGATTGCTGCACATTGCACCCCCGCCCCAGACTGCAGAGGGACACAGATATGGAAACACACATGGAACAGAACCAGTCTGATGTCCATGTGCTTCCTGCCTGCATACTGTTGTAGCTTAGCTGGGACCTCTGCTTTTCATTGGTGCAGACAACTGTCTGTCACTAATAAGCCCATGTCCTATTGGAAGTAGGGAGGAGGAAATTGTAGGTGGCTGGAGATAGGACAAATAATGATTGAGGTTCTGAGGCTGTGTATGGCTATACACTTGTATTCCTGTGTGCATGTAAATGATTATGTACAGAGTATAGACAGAAACTAAGTGTACTTTGTATTTTTTTCTTGCACACTTTACTCAGTGCTGCTTTATTAATCTTTAGTCAGTAGTGTGCATTGTGTCATAGACATCAATACATCTGATTAGAGATCAGTATAACACAAAGTGTTTATCACTCCCATGTGCAAGAAGCCTAGCCCTTTCTCCTCCTTAAATGACCAAAAAGAACCAGAAAGGCAGCACTGTGAAAAAAAGAGCCAGCAGGAGAAAATGTACTGTAACTGGCTGCCTGTTAGGGCATTTTTAATACATTTGCAGCAGTACTGAAACACCGGACTAAAGTGATTGTAAACACACATTTAAAAAAATAACAAAGGTTTATACTTTCCTGCTCTGTGCAATTCCCCCAGTTGTCCTTTTTTGGTGCTCATGGCTCCTCATGTTCTAAGTGCGCTTCCTATGGTGGTACACCTGCAGGCGCAATCCTGAGCCACTATCTGTGTCAATTGACAGACTCTGGCTCCGCCTAATCCCTCAATCTCTCTTCACTGGCTTTGATTGATGACAGCAGGGGCAGCTGCCTCAGCAAAGCCTGTTAGACCTGAAAGACTGAAGAGAAAGCCACTATACAGACAGACATAGCGCTGGATCAAGTGAATAAGGGGAGTGAGGGGGCAATAATATTACCAAAACATTTATCACCTTAATGCAGGAAAAATTGTTTAGACTTTACAATCACTTAAAGCCCAACTCCAGGCAAAACAAATATTACCTTGCAGTTGAACTGCAAGGGTTAACTACCCATTTTTGTCTAGTGGTGAGAGAAAGGAGATATACTTAGCTGATCTTTCAATTCTCCCTGTACAAAACTGATCCCTGCAGCTCATGCAACTCCACCCCCCATGATCTAGCATTCTTGAGTAGTGAACTGGTCCTGATGTCAGCAAGTCCATAGACCTGCAGGACATGAGGATGTCAGGAATAGTCCACTGTTGGATCGTGGGGGAGTGCCATTTGCAGTATCGGAGGATCAACTGAGTTTAAGCTTTTTTTCTCCCCTGCAAAAACAGTTAACCCTTTCAGTGCAAGCAAAGCTCCTCTGCATAGTAATTTCTTTCTTTTTGCCTAGAGTTGGGCTTTAAGGACAGTTAATGCATTGCTGCCTCCTACTGGTGTAGTATTGCCACTGCGTCCTTTGTTGCAACTTGATTATTTTAAGTTGGTTTCACTCAAAAAAATAAGTAAAATGGTTTCATTACCTTGCAATTAACTCTGACTTAATAAACACTAGTAAGAAGGCATATTTTTGATATATGAGTAAAATTAACAAATATATCTAAGTTGGGAAAGCTATTGGATTTTACAGTGTATGATTCACTCTTTATTGCTTATTCTTTGACCATAACTCACCACCAGCAATGATTCGTCACTACCTGGTCAAATAGTCATGGCAATCAATTATTACCAATAGGTATAAACATACTGCCAGACACAAAGGGGAACATTTACTAAAACTGGAGCACTCAGAATCTGGTGCAGCTGTGCATGGTAACCAATCAGCTTCTAGCTTCAGCTTGTTCAATTAAACTTTGGCAATAAAACCTGGAAGCTGATTGGCTTCTATGCAGAGATGCACCAGATTTTGCAATCCCCATCCTTAGTAAATAACTGCACAATGTAATTTCCTTCTCCAGGATCATAAACCTCATTTTATGTCACTAACGTAAAATAAAACAATTCACAGGTGTGACATTCATGAACTAGAAGCATCCAAGGAAAAGGCTGAGTGCACCAGGCTGCTCTCCTGTGCTGGCTAATACAGAGCCCAGGGGGCTGTACTCCTGAATAAACACAGATGCCTGGCTGGATGTAAAATGCCCTATAGCTGTGTTATATCACAGCTGAGGGTTTGATGTATGCTGGAGTTCCAGCTGTTATATGCTTCTTAGCTGGTGAAGGTAAGAATACTGAGGAACTGGCTGTCTACCCCCTGCGCTGGAGGAAACAGCACTTGTCATGAAATTGTCATCCTCACAGTAGATGCTTGTGCTGCTGGTGTCAGTGGTGTCAGATCCCCTGTGCATGCACACTTTTCTGTCCCCCCCCCCCTCCCACCCCGGTCCACAAGAAGGGGAGGGGGTCTGTAGTTCGGCGGCAGAGCCTTGGGACTCTCAGCGCTGGCAGCACAGCGGTCAGAGATGTGGAGTAGCACAGACGTGCCGTGTGGACGGAGCCCAGCACCACCAATGGCAATCACAGCAGCATGTTTAGCGCACGGTGAATGTCAGCGATCGCTCTGCCTCGTAGTACTCAGCGCAGCAGCTGGACTGTGAATGGAGGAGTCCTGATTGACAATACATTGGAGAGATCGAGGCGGGGAGCGCTCCCTAGACTTCACTGCCTCCTGCTC